AACTGGCTTCTAATGATTCGTGCGTCGGTGAGTATGATCCAAGTAACCGGTCCTTCTCTCCTTCTCCTTAATCAAACATCCAATCATACACACTATGTTGTGTTTGGGACATTAACGTGGCAAGGGGGGGGATGTCGTTACTAGACAATGGGACTTTTGACTGCCCGTTTTCGTATGGGCAAAATCTGGTCAAATCCCCGGCCTTTTCCCAACCTAATAATAAAAACCCTTACGAAACATTGCACAATCCTCTTCTATCTTCTTCAACTTGGGAATCAACTTGGGCGTATCTGTAGTCCATTCGCCCCTAACCTCTAGAGACTCGAGTGCCATTCTTTGACTCAGCATCACATGTGAGTAGAGTTTGTTTAGGTCTTTCCCTTSATTCAAGGATTTATCTCCGGTTTTCCTCCGTCCGCAAAACCGAAGGCGTACGTACCCTGACCTCACCAAGCGTAAATTAGCTGACTAATGAAAGTTCAATTATGATCTSATTCTATAAATCATTTTTGATGTTTTCGATTTTCTTACAGATGTTAATGAGTGTGCCACAAGTCCTTGCAAGGAAAACTCAGTTTGTAAAAATCTAGTTGGATCATTCAAGTGCGAATGTAACGATGGTTACAAGCCTAAAGATCAATTAAGTTGTGAAGGTGAGGTTTGATTGGTTTAAAGGTGTGTAACCATGACGACAAAACATGATGACAATATAGTCCCTCCACAGTTCTCTGCGCCATCTTGAAAGATAGCCATGCATTTGCATCGAAGCGAGAGGAACGGTGAGTTTGCAGTGATAGACGTGTGAATAATTATCCAAGGTGTTAAAATAGGTCTCTGTCATTGCAAGCTCACCGTTCGTCTCGCTTCGATGCAAAGGCATGGCTACCTTTCAAGATGGCACAGAGAACTGTAAAGGGGACTATTGTCAGACCTCGTGTCATTCTCTTGAGTATTATAAAGATTGTGTCCGAAGAAAGTAGTCTCCGAAGTGCATAAAACTGTMGTGGATATATATTTTGAAAGGAATTCTTTCATTTCAGACATCAATGAGTGTATAGGAGACAGCCACAAGTGTAATTACAAGACTTCAGAATGTGTCAATACGCCTGGTGAATATCACTGCAAATGCAACTCTGGATTCAAGAAGGTTTCTCGATATGAATGCAAAGGTATAAAAAGAAATCTAGTGTGACTATCAAAGGGTTTCCCCTCTTAACCAATCACAGCTACAGTTACATGCACATCATCCAATCAAAGTGGCTGATCGTTACCCAGTTCCCAAGCGCCAAATATGCCAAGTCCACGACTCAATAGACCKTTTTTGAGTTCCAAATTGCTGCTGTGTTCCTTGATTGCAGACTCATTTACACAGGATTAGCCTCATATATTTTGTCAAACACTTTTACCATAAGCCTTTGGCTCGGAAGACTGGGYAATCACTCCCTGTGTTATTGACGCTAAGTAAATTATCTTATCTTATCTTATCAGTGTCTAATATTCACAAATACCAACGGTAAAGTGAAGAATGCACAACTTCAACAATACAAAAAAACTTTGAAATTCCATGGACCTTCAGTGGAACACGTGAATATTCTAAACCCGGAGCAACAGAGAACTGGAGTATTATGTAATGACCATCTTGATGGCGTCCTGCGTCACTTCCACCAAGCAATCCATCCATCCATCCATACCACCTCTCTTCTTCCCTTCTTTTCTCTTCGTTGCTTCATTCATCATTATTTCCCCGAGAAAAAATTCTACCTCACTTCTTCCCTTCCCTTTTACCTCCTCTCCATTCCCATTTCATTATTGATTTCCTATTATTAATTAATTATATCCATTATTTCCCCCAGATAAWAATGAGTGTGTTGAAGGAAGTCACACATGCAATACCACAACCTCTAAGTGTGTAAACCTACACGGTGACTTCTACTGTAAATGTAAAACTGGTTATCATCAGACTGATAGCATGAAGCTTTGCATGAGTAAGTTAACCAGAAATATTTTCTTTAGATTCAAATACTAGTATTTTCTCTAATCTTAATTGGCTCTCGTGCGATTAAGATTTCTTTTGTGGGAAATACGAAAAAACGCTCGAAATAAATTTAATTTCATTCTATCAATTTTTAATTTTCCTTAATCGACTCCAAAAAATGCTTCCTTTTTCTTCTATAGCCATTATCTTAGTTGAATTTAGGAAGAACTAAATATTTCGAAGAAATGGTTACTTCAGCCAACATGAATAATTTAATAATGAATAATAATAATAATG